AACTTCGTGGCTGTCAAACTATTCAAAACTTTTCACGGATGAGTACTATAAATCCAGGTATTTTCCGCAGATGGGCACTATCCATCCAGGTATTTTCCGCGGGCAGGCACTATGGGCTGATAGTGTCTCTCCACGGATGAACACTATCGCATCACGTGATCGATTTAAACCAATAAGAACCAGAGAAAATTTAGTGGTGAACTATAATCAGTTATGGATGCACTTGGGAGGTTTGCTAAGCACTCAAGAAGCTAGAGTTGCTCTGAGGTTATCCCCTCATGCGACTTACACTTCTTTACTGCTTAGCAACCTCCTGTGTGCATCCATAACTCAATGGTGTATGCTGTGGTGTTTACCAATTGCTAATTAGGCTAATTCTTTTAAAACCTTTGACCCTTGAGAATGATCAGCACTTACCGTAATTTCTCCTTACAATATCACCCTTGAATAACACATTAAGGTCATGAGATCTTGATTGTTAAACAAATTCTCCATGTCAATAGAGAACAGTATGGAGAATATACATACTGATGTTAGTGTGTAAAGGGCTAATGGGAAGGAATGCTCAAAAAACTCTTTGGTGAGCTGCAGAGAAGGTATATTTAATAACTAAATGATTGTGTTGCAAAAATCTAGCCTTTTGCCTTAAAATATGGCAAGCGTGAAGGAAACATGAGGAAATATATTAGATTTAGAAGAGACAATGGAAATGTTGGCTTCAGATGAGAATAAAGTAAACCAGAGAGCATGGGTGCAAAGTATAATTAAGTTAGGGGAGTGCACAGTGCCTTCGCATTTCCATGCATTAACAAGAGAAGAGAACAAGCCTTAAATTCCTATACAAAGGAGATATGAGAGAAGCTTGAAAAAAAGCACTACTAAGACTCCATTAATGAGAGAACAAGCCTTTAATCCCCATAGAAAGGAGGTATACAGAAGGCTTGACAAAGTGTGTAACTAAGACTATTATCAAGAGAACAAGAATTCAATTCTCATACAAAAGAGATATGCAGGAAGCTTAACAAAACATATTACTTAGTACAGTGATATTTAACTCATTCCACAGTATCGTTCATGTTCTTTGGTGCCCTCATTTTGGAACAGTTTTTTTTTTGTCCCATAGTCATCCAAAGGAACTTTCTGCTTACAGGATCGCACCTCAATTACACACCAAGGTCACGAGAATAAAGGAAATGATAACTAACTGAGGAGGCTCTTGATTGGTAGACAAATTCTTCCTCCGACGAAGGGCTAACGCTCGAAACGTCAGCTTTTGTAATCGTTACGGTGGCCAATTTACCATTTCAACTTTGTTGATATATCCAAATTCTTCCTGTACCTTAGGAAAATTAGTTCCTTAGGAAAATTCTCTCTGTACCTTAGGAAACGCATAGTGAACAGTATGGAAAATATGCATATTGATCATGAAGTTAAGTTGTAAATGGTTAAAGTCAACAAAAATGTACTAACCTGTAATAACAGGCAATGATGTCCCAAGTGAAAGTTCTTCGATTGTGATTTGCTCAATCAGTTTGCTTGCTGCTTTTCCTTGAATAAGTTCGGTGAACTCTGAGTTCATCTTCTTTAAAAAGTATCTTTTCATCTGTGGAGTATCCCGCCATTCTCTCCACAGAAAGGCAAATAGAAGGTTCATACAGACACATGATTCAGGTTCAGTGGCTTGATCTTTCTTGTAGTAATCTGCTATAAGCTAAAGAAAGCATGAATTTACGTCAAGCGAGTATTTAATAGGTATTTCCATCATTTTCATTTGCGTGATCTCTAGCGTCACAATTTCTTCACGTACATGTAGTCTTGTCCCTGCAAATTTCTTCTTCAAAGTTTGTTGCTCTTGTGATTACTACTGACAACCTACAACCTTGGACACTGACAAGATTTTTAAAAAATTCCTGAAAATCCCTCCCCTTTTCCATTACTGTCAAATTATTCAGGATTAAAATTGAAATGTGCATGATTTCCTTTTCTGATTAAAATGAAAATTTTATTAATGTTCATACATTTCTAACGTGTCAAGAAAAAACCGCAAATAATTCCCTGATCATAGAACTGCACACAGCGATCAAAATTAATATTGCGATCTTCAAATAAAATTAACGTTCCCTGGGCATATGTATACCCAACTGAAAAAGCGGATGCACGTACCTCTGGATTGGTGACTTTCGTGCGCTGTGGGTAAAGTTTTGGAGCATCCACTCCCGTAGAACTCCACCATTTGTAAAGCAAAATGGCTTCCAAAAGCAAAACAGAAAATACCCCGATCAAAAAAGCGAGAATGAAGGCTATAAACATGAGAGAATTTGCCTACAAAGCAACGGGTAAGACATGTTTTTTTAAGTCAAAGGCAGATGGGGGACTGGAGATGAAATAACAGTCCGCTGACCAATACGGCGTGCTATAACAGAAGGTAAACAAACCCAGTCATACTGACACCGAAAAATCCTTTTTATTAAAAACTGGATCAATGGATAATGCAATTCAAGACTTTTTATTGGCTTAGCCATTACGGTTTATCAGCCAATATACCATAATTTAATATCTGTACATTGTAACATCCGGTTTCTTCTCACGAAATAAAGTCGAGAAGATTTGTCTAATATCTTGGGGGCGTTTTTTTTTTCAATAAAATAATTATTCCACTCGCGCTTGTTGGATATGAGATGATTATAGCCAACTCGGCGCTACGCGCCTCTGTCTATCATCTCATATCCAACGCGCGCTCGTGGAATAATTGTTAAATAAAGTCTAACAGCAAGATTTCATAGGATTTCTAAAATCATCTGATTGTATCAACATTTTTTAAGTTTATCCTTCTCTAAGAGTGACCCCAAAACTGACATTTCTATCCATCCATTATACGGTACCGGTATATCTAAAGCGAGTGTGGTAACATATCTTAAGTTACAGCTTCTCAAGACTGCATCAGCTATCTGTACGTTATTTTCCAAATTTTAGGTTATTTTTATTCATAAAGTAACTGAAATACTACGAGCGTCTTGATTGGTGAAAACCTATCGTTCATTGCACCGGTAAACTCATAGCCCCCGGCTTGGGACTTAATTTTATTCTTAAGTAGGTAATATTCTTTGTAAATTTTCTTTGTAAATTTTATTTGCGTCCCCACATTAGTACGGGATATCTCCCAAACTAGAAGGTTCTTTGACACGTTAATAAAGTTTCTATGTATCTGACTGTCTGTCTGTCTGTTTGTCGAACTATCTCTCTATCTAAACCTTGCGAGTGTCCTCCCACGATCCCAAGCGGGTTATTACGCTGGTAAACCAATTGGAGGTACTGTCTACTGCTTAATTAAATTTTGATAAATTCTGTTCACTCTGAATCAAGTAATTCGAACTAATTATTGCAGAGTGGGTGAAATTTGCAACAGCAGCACGAAAATTAGGCCATTGACTAGGAGGCAGCTCGATATACGCATTTAGTCTACAAAGCCGTCCAAGTGATACAAGAAAGTATGAAAGATACGATTCTTTCTAAAAAGAAAGAACAACTAGGAGATAACAGCACCCTTTGATCGCTATCAAGACTTCGCCTGATTCCCATGATCGTGTTACAAGGTCAAGGAGCAGAGTCGTGGGGTCTCCAACATGCGTATACAGCCCATCAAGAGCGTGGGCCAAGTCGTAAGTCTAATGATGATTGTAAAACGCTATATGTGAGACCCGGTAGACACCTGAGTCAGTGGACAGTTCAGTATTTCAGTGAAGATCGAAAGAAATGATTGCAAAACAACACAATTCCACTTGCGATCACTTTTAGGTTGGCAATTTTCAATTTACCATTAGAAAATGTTTGTCTGGTACTCCAGTAGGTAGCAACATAAAAAAAAAGTACAAAGCCATTTTAGAGGAAGCAATTCCTTTATTCAGTTTAAGCCAAACATTCTTGCCTTACACAATACCACTTGCACTCCGATCATAAGCACTACTCTGGTGTCCAAGTTACTTTACTGACTCTTCAAAAAAAGTGCCGCGCCACACTGGGTCCACCTACTTTGGTTACCCCCACACGGCATGTTAAAACATGTGACTGTCTTGTCTCGGTCGGCACTGTAGTAGATTGGGATCGAAATGCATTCGTTCTCTGGATAAGGGTCAGTGGTATCCTGATTGTCAAAAAATAACAAATAAATTACACAAGTCGATTTGCCAGTTGTAATAGGGACTATTTAGTATTACAGATTGTCAGACTGGAAATCAAGTTTGCTTTCTTAACCAATTGTCCAGGATCAATAAGCACGTTTATTACATCGCTCGCAGCGCCCGTGGCAAGATGAGGCGAATCCTGTGTTCTGATTGGCTACCCGAGCGTACAAGATGGGCCCATCTTGCCCGCTTGGAATTGCCCGCATCGAAAAAATTTGAATTACAACTACGTTCGTAATTCTTGTACAATGTCGGCGATCGAAACGCAAAAAGCGGAAGAATATAGTCAAAACAGAGAAAACAGAAACGACTCTCGTGAGTTTGTTGTGCTACAAACACACTTGGCTTTCTTTCCCGACTCTCGAAGTAAACAAGTCATTCCTAATTCTTAGAAAAGCGAAATTTTTTTGCAATGTAATAAATCCTTTATTAACCAAGCTTGCTCGGTCAAGATGGCTGGATATTAGCCTCGTTCTTTTTCGCATTTTTATGGACCTCGACTTCGTTTCGGTCTATAAAAATGCAAAATAAGAACTCGGCCAATATCCACCCATCTTGACGTCACACTTGGTTAACAACCCATATTTCTTATATTAATACATTAAGGATTGATGAGCTCTTTCCCCAGTAAACGAAGACAAAGGCTGGTAAGTTTCTTAAGCAGGATATTACACATACCCAAGTTTTGACCTGAGATAATACAAGCGAAAGTCCAACGCTGGCCTTCCATAAAGTGTACTTTATGGTTGGCTGTGTACATTCGGGAAGAGTGGAGCGGATTCAGTGATGAGAAAAGAGCATAATCTGTTGGCGATCACTGCTCTGAGGGCCTTCGTCAACCGTCAAATGGCCAAAATATCAACCGCCAACCGTCAAAAACGCAATATTTTTACCGTCAACCGTCAAATAAGCAAGCCAATGTTAGCCGTCAAATGTCTCATATATCTTTATTTAAGAACTAAATGATTGCCTTAATTGGGGTCAAGTTCAAGTTTATAAATAGAAGTTTGGATATGTCACAAAAATACATTTATGTAAGTCCTTTTACTTCTAGTTGCGAGTAAAACTGGTTAGCCACAGAACTGACTTCAGGTGTGAAAACACTTCCGGTGTCGTAATACGCTAGTCATTTGTTAATAAAAGGTGTTATAAATTAAAAGTTCTTAACAAACGCGTCATCATGTAAAACTACAACCAAATTCGCGCAATTAGTTCGTTTATAAACGACATTCCAAAAACTTCACCGTCAATTGTCAAATGAACTAAAATTTAACCGTCGACCGTCAAAAAGGCTTCTTTTTAACCGTCAATATGACCCCTCGCATTGAGAACCTCTGCTATATATGAACGACTTACCTTTGGCACCCACGCCACCTCAGCATTGGGGATCGCTGAAACACTAGGCGAGTCTCGGTGATTTTCTGTAAGTGTATTACCGTCAAAGCTACAACCTTCCAATTGAAGACCACCGAGCTAATTAGAGAGAAAACAACGTGAGTATTCAAACAACTTTTAAGTGGCAAACAGACCTTAAAGTTTTAAGGGTTTCATTACAAGTCATTTGCACACTTGCGTCGCCCGATAACGTTCCAGAATTTGTACATGGGCGCAAAGCTCCAAACATATTACGCCAAGTGAAAAGGTTGTCGCTATTAAAAAAATGGCCCCTTTCTCCAGAAACAGCATCAGGTAGGTACAAACCTTCACGGTAAACTTGGCTCCAGATATCTTTGATCCCTTCCAAGAAACAGCGAGTTTCAAACTATCGATGGACGTTTTCATCGCTCTGGGAAAAAAATTAAATATAAAGGTTATGAATAGCCACAATGGTACACGTTCACATCTCCCTGTGGAGAGCTTGGGCTTCAGTACTTTTTTTCCAGCTTCTTACTTGGATACAAGATCCCTATAAAAGGCAAGAGCTGCAAGGCGTTGTCAGTTCTTAAAATTAATACAGTTAAAACTTTCTTCAAGGGGATTCTCGTCAATGGACTGCTCTTAGAGCGACAAATATGGTAAAATCCCTTCACATACTTCCCATAGATGACCAAATCCAGTTACACTTATTATGCCTCGTGAAGGGTACCTACCTTCCAAGCGTATATGATTTTTTGCGCGTTGTGGTAGCAGCCTGCTAATAATCATGAGTGGCAAGAAATCCATGCAAAGATAGGTCTTATGCAAGAGCACCACTCAACCATCTCGGTAAGAACACTGCCAGGGCTACTTCAGCCACCGTCGAACTCTCTAAGCGAAATTCTACATCCAAAATCTGACGTTTTCGATTCAAGTAATCTAGGTATTACAAAACTTTAACAGTGATACAAGCGGTGATAATAATTCTCATACCGTGCTGTTTGCTGACGCAGGGCATTGAGGAATGTATCTGGATGGAACAGGTCTGAGAGATCCAACACATCCCTTAACAAGGAGTCTGAGCTGCACTTCTCCACCCACGAGCCTAGTGCAAGGGTCTTGGCAACTAGGGACCTCAACCACTGAATAGGGTCCTCGGGGCCCTCAAAACGATTGCTCCAAGAAAGAGGGACCTAACACACAAACAGCAGGGGTTAGGCAATTGAGCACTACATGCAAAACACTGGTTTTCATGAAAAACCTGAAAATTAAAAATGTAAATTGATCACAATCGATATGTCCAGGTAAGATCCCAGAAAGGTCAAGGCTGTCTTCTAAACTACCCGTGAAAGCTATGGACTTTCTTGCACTCAATAAAGTGGCAATCTAAACAAGGGTTGTTCAAGAGTTTAGATTCTTATTCCCATCATATTTTGTAACTTTTTTTTAAATTTGGACCTTTGGTACAGGGTAAATACTGTGTATACTTTATATCCACCGTTGTTTAGTTTTTTGTTTCACAATATTTCCACACCCTAAAGAAATGTTTTTACTGTTGTTACTGCCGTTGGTAAAGTCTTCCTTAAACCTTCACACACTAAGATCATTACGCATATTCTCCATACTGTTCTTTCTACATTTTCGAAGGTGTCGACAAGGAGAATTTTGTTAACAATCAAGAGTTTATTGAGTTGGCTAAGATTTCCTCTATTCTCCTTACCTTCATGAGAGATTCAGGAGTGAAATTGTAGGGTAAAATTAGATGCTAGTCACCCTTAGGAATAACCTTACCTCTTGTTTAAGTAAAGCCCCTGCTAGTGCCTGGACTTCAGCATCCAACAACGCTGTTCCTCGGATGACCTTGCTAAGGGAGGAAAGGGACGCGTGCACGATTTGCACCAATCGGATTGCATTGTAACGCTCAAGCTGCACGAATGATGTCACTGGAGATTCCTCACCAGTCTCCGTAGGGGCAGAAATTTTCATCTGGATCAGTTGAGAGCCCTGCAACCACAAAATGGCGATCAGGAAACACAGTAAATAGGAGGACAGGACTCCCAGGAAAAGTGCCAACATCGTGCAATATCGTTCAATATCGGACGAATATTGGCAATATCGTTCAATATCGGACGAATATTGGCAATATCGTTCAATATCGGACGAATATTGGCAATATCGTTCGTTTCGTTCAATCGAACTGAGATCTATTATCTCACGTGGACAGTCATATTATAAGAAAGGATGATAGAGAAGAACTTTCACTAGGGTACCTGGTTGAGTTTCTTCCACAAGTTCAAGATCGGTGACAGCTCAGTGGACCATTTTTCTTTGTCAAACTTGCTTGCTTCTAGGTTGGAGCGCATCAGCACTTTGAGTTGACCTATCACCTGAGGAACCACAGCAGAGGAGTGAAGTTCGAGAAAAGCCACGCTAACGTACAAAGCTCGTGTATAAGGCTGATAACTAAAGAATGTTTAATGCACACTTCCTATCCTCTTAGATGACCTTTTAGATCCTCGAAGTGCCACAAAGGTTAACCGATTTTTGAACTCGAGAAAGAAATACGACAAGAATTGCTCTCAATCTGGATTCCAACGCTCCCACCATTTCCTCACCATGCTAAGGTAAAGTAAAAGATGTCGCCAACTAACAAAGAAAGACCCGCTGAGTGCGTGCCTCACCTGAGAGCTGATGATCCTTTGCGAAGAACGCTCGATGTTCGCTGGTAATCCAAAGAAGGACGGTTTATCATCGTCGGGAAGTGAGTTAATAATCTCCACATAATCCTAAAAAACATATATATATATAAACCATTTTTAAATCTTTATCCAATTGGTCACAGTTGTGGAAAGTGAACGACCATCCATCTCCTTCACAAATGTTTACAACTTGTATTGATGGATAATAATGAAACTTATTAAACAACTCCGGCAGTCAGAGGGCCAATAACTAAAATCAACCAATCAAAATGCTCTATTGCCGGTCAATATTCGCTCAGTATTGGACCGGGCACTGTCCCGAATGGTCCCGAATGGTCCCGAATGATACCGCACTTGTGTCCCTTTGAACTTCAGTCGTATAATAAATCTCTTATTAACCAAGCTTGCTCGGGACCATACTGGAAGAATATCGGCCCTCGGTCTTTTTTGTACGGACCTCGCTGCGCTCGGTCCGTACTGTCAAGACCTCGGGTCGATATTTTCCCAGTACGGCCCTCGCGCTTGGTTGATAAGATATACAAATAAACTTCTTACCCTGTGATGACAAGATGTCGGCAGAGTCACATTTGGAATCACTTTCTTAGCTTTAGATCGGCTTCCTCCCTTAAAAAATAATGAAAGGTTTTACAAGTCTCGAAAACAGCTTCTCTTGCTTTTCATCTGCAAGAAGCGAATGTGAAAATCGTGATTTCCTCTGGGATGATAGGCTAGTCCACTGATCGCAAGTTACACTCACTCCAACGAAGGGCTAACGCTCGAAACGTCAGCTTTTATAATCGTAACGGTGGCCAATTTACCATTTCAACTTTGTTGATATATTGAAATTATTTCGTTACCCCCACCGACGCAGCCCCAAACAGTTTCTTTAGAAACTATCAGCCTTTATACACTCAGTTTAGGCATGAATTTTACGGAAAAGACAAAATGATATTGCCACACACTTCAACCATTTGCCTTTCTTAAAAGTGAGTGTATTTCATTTACTCTCAGTGCCACATTTTGCCCTCTTTTCCTGAAGGATTTATTCTTCAGGATTAGGGAATAAGTGAACAAAATCTGAATTGATTTTGCCCTTCGCCAACAACGTAACCGTTGAGCTTATTCATTTTAAACTCACTTAATCTGCAAAGCCTCTATTTCGGTTCTTGTTCGAAAGAGCTCATCAATTCTTAAAATGGTTTTATCCCTAGAAACAGGGAAGCGTCTTCTCGGGCTATTTTCAGCTAAAAAGCAGTTTCCTCGACTCTATAATCAATCTTCCTCCATCGAGAAATTCCCTTACCGCGTGAAGACAGTAGGGCACAAGAGTACTAACAAGTTCAAGGTTTCAAAATAATTTAAGAAAACGTGTGTTGCAGTGATCATCTCACCTGGCTTGGAAAGACAGCTTGTTCAAAATACTGCAACAAATAAGATTGAAGAACCTTGGCGTCAAATGTATTGTCAACGCGGCCCCCGTATATGGCATTCTCGAATAAACCGTGAACAAACTTCCATCGAACAGACCCTGAGCCTGCAAAACAAACGATAAATGTTAAAATTCTGCCACTCGTCATAAAAGACTGTTCATTTTGGGTGATAAAAGATGCTATCAACTATATGTACAAGTTTCTTTGAAGCGCGAAAGAAGTTTTCTTTCTCAAATGCAATTGCTATGCATTATTATTTGCCGCCTTTTTCTATTTTTGTAGTCTTGTCAGTGACCCGTCATTATCTAGACTTACTTGTGACAAAGCGTGGAAAAAGCTGTTTCTTTTCCCACAGTATACCAAAATCTTTGTTTCAAGAGCCTAGAAGCTTGGAAAACGTCCAGCATTAATTCTTATGAGGCCACGTATCTGTTAACTTTACCAGATAATTTTTCGTAAATGAAACAATCAAATAATGTCAGATCTTGGGATGAAATTGCTTAGAAATGCGTCGTTTGTTCGGTTATTTAAGAAAAAGGTAAAAAACTGAGTTGTCAAAATATTCAACACTTGTTAAAACAAGCCTCTTAAGGTGACAAACGAAAGCGCAAACATCGTTTTATATTTGCAAATATGTCTACACGTGAGAGGTGTAAACGATATCTATGTTATAACAGCTGAAACGGCTTTATACTTTAGGTCCAACATTTCTATGATCCGTTTTCGTTAGATTGCAGAGAAGTGAAGGAAGCAAGTTCAAGTTTGTTAAGTATTCTTAAAATGTCAAACTCGAAGGTATCACTGGATCACGACTATTTCTTTGTATCACAAACTATTCTGAGCGTCATGTTGGCCACACCAGCTGTCGCCTCGAATGTCTTTTTACTGATCACCATCTTTCGAAACACAAACGCGAATCAAAGAATTTGGCAAACGCCTGCAACGCTCTTGGTGGTAAACCTGACCATCTGCGACCTAATGACTGGTCTTGTTCCTGGATACGGAAGCCTTTATTACGATATCTCTGTGTTAAGAGGTAAGAGGAGAGACAATCTTGTAGGAATGCAGCGTTTCTTAACTGTTTCCGCCGTTGTCACAAATATCGTTTCTTCTGGCACGATCACAGTGATGTCTTTTGACCGTTTATTAGCAGTTTCGTCTCCTTTTCAATACAAAGCGTTGGTGACGAAAACAAAGATAAAGGGAGCAATAGCGTTTATCTGGATTTATTCCCTGATTTTCTCCAGTCTTCCGTTGATGGGGGTAGCACCGTCTACGTTCGTTCTCTTGTTCTGCCATCTTCATGTTTCATTTCCTCTGATCATCTTCCCCGTGGTATACTGGAGAACATTCCGTGCGCTTCGCCTACACAATAACCAGGTGCAAGATGTGGCTGAAAACGAGGGAAGGCAGCAAATAGATATGGCTCACAGGAACAGAGAACGCAAAATGGTGTCAGCATTTCTCTTAATTCTTATCTCGTTTTACGTATCTTTCGCCCCACTGTTTATCGCTCAAAATATGTTAATTTTTCATCCAAAATACAACTATCAAGATACTTTTCGATTTTTTCTGTATACAACAAACAAAGTTCTCATAATAAATTGCTGTCTAAACCCTTTCATCTACGCGTGGAGGATTCCAACCTACAGAAGAGCATTTAAGGCGGTTTTCACTGGCTGTGTTTGCCTACCAAGAAACACTGTCTCCCTGGTGATGCAAAAACACGTCGACAACCGCACGAACCACACACGCAGCCCTGACAGTTAACAGTTGTTACTGTAGAGGAAGTCACTATTCAATTACGCAATACGGGATTCTGGGAGAAGATGAGGAAAGTTTGATTTTCACGAACGGACGGCGAGTGACTCAAAATTTTTCAAATTCCCTAAACATCCCAGCGCGTTATTACACTGGTGTAGTGATGGAAAGTGCAGCCTACCGATTCTTCAAATTATACATAAGGTGCAGTACAGAAGAGGCTACTGAGCAAGCTAAGCGCGCATAGCATCTCAATTATTTCGTAACTGACAATGCACTTTTTTAAAATGAATTTTCGGTATACTTTTAAGTTCATTGTTTGCTCTCTAAAATCGTTTTATTTACATTTCATGACTCCTGATGTGAATATGAACTGGAGAAGGAAAACCAGGGTGTTGGCTGAGATATGTAGATTCCACCATAGTAATTTCAGCTTTTTATTGAACGAAAACTTGCTTGCTCAGAGGTTCACAATGCGAATTCCACTTTTTATCTTTCTTTTTCCGGTTCACTTAACCAATATACTCTGACACATCGAGGCAGTCGATAGCAGGACTGTTTTTTCAATTTTTTGGTTAGAAGTTCTTTTCAGACTAATGACCAACCAGGCACTTTTAAATGCGCTCGTGCACGATGCAAAACGTGTCCTTTCATTCACAACACTGATAAAATATCGGGACCTAAACGATCCATTAAGATCACCGATCCCTTCACGTGCACCTCCGCCAATGTAATCTATTGCATAACTTGCACTTATTGCAAAAAGATATACATCGGCGAAACAGGCAGAAGACTAGGTGACCGATTCCGAGAACACCTTCGAGACGTGGAAAGGAATGACAAGGACACATCGAAACCAGTCGCTAGACATTTTAATTTACCTAATCATTCTAAGCAACATATGGCAATCTGCGGTCTTTCCTTGCACTTAGGTGGCACGGAAAGCCGTAAAAATCTTGAACAAAAGCTCATCTTTCAAACCGGCAGTCTAAATCCCACAGGGATCAACGAACGCTTTTCATTCCACTAATTTATTCATGTTTTTCTCGTTGCCATGCNATTCTACGGGGAAAACAATTTGGAGAGTTTGGTGACGAGAAAATCAATCCGAATCACCGCTGTTCGTCATCGAATGTTTCTACAACACAGCACTGGTTTAGAGCGAAATAGGACATGTAACTTTTATATGGACTCATTTTTTTTTTCCGAAAAGGTAAACCTGCCTACGCTATAAAAGAAACAATCGGAGAAAAGCTCAGAACAAACAATGGCATCTTGCTCCGACGAAGGGCTAACGCTCGAAACGTCAGCTTTTGTAATCATTACGGTGGCTAATTTACCATTTCAACTTTGTTGATATATCCAAATTATTTCGTTACTCCCACCGACGCAGCCCCAAACAGTTTCTTTCGAAACTGTCAGCCTTTATTCATTTGTTTTTTCGTTTGTTTGTTTGATTGCAGAACCATTTGTTTCTTTTGTTTTGCTTTTTGCCTGGCATAATTCTTGGTCGAGGGTGTTTAACAACACTGAAATTTCACTTACCGGCGGCTGTACAAAGTCTGTCGATGATATCAGCTCCTGCGCGCAAGTCACCAAAAGCGAACTCATAAAACTTTGTCCAGCCCTGAAAAAATTGAGACAAAATTTGCGACTTTTCAATGAAACTTGACGGCGTTCATTGTTTGTGACAGGAGCATACACTAACTCAAAGTACTTGATGTCGTTGACAACCACTGATCTTCTTGCAGAGAAGGACCTAAGTGATGATAAAAAAAATTACAAACCTGCGGAATGTAGTTTCTTCGTTCCTGCACTATGGCATGGAACCAGGCCAGCACAAACAGCGCCTGCGCTCTGATGGAAGAGTTGCCACGGCTGATAAACTGGGGGCTCCACGAGTCGTAGGTTCGTTGAAGATTTTTCTTTATTCCTGGCGGAGCCTGTGGAAAAAAAGTTTAAACTTGGTAAGGTACCCAAACACGTGCCGATACAAAGAGTTAAAAGTTAATGAGAAAAGGAAAATAAACATAGACTTTATCATATTGGAAGTACTGTTTTTTTCATAGGTCTTTTCTTTGTCAATAAAGTCAGTGCACCAAAATTGTAATCGCGAACGACCAGAGCCGAGTTCATCCCACGCTGTTTTAACTTGGTAATACTTACAAGACACAGTCAGTAACGTTTCACATTACCTTCGTAATTTGAATCTATATGGCAAAGCACGAGTAACAAATCACGAACCTCGTAAGTAACTTTAAGACTGGATTGCAGAAGGATTGTGGGAAACTTCGGATGCGTCTCAGCTGTTAGCCACAAACGAAAGTTTTCATGAGGCTCCAAGGAGTTCAATTCCTGTAAAAATTCACAAACAAATCAGAGTCAGTCTTGGCTAGCATAACATCAACTACTTGCTTGCAGACAAAAAAGCAAGGATAAAGGAAGGCGTAAATGCGCGTTATCCGTAACGCCAAATGAAATTATTAAGAAAACCAGTCTTGAAACTGGTGAGCCAATTTTAATTGTAGTAATCTTAATAAATCATCTTGGTGCTTTATTTTTATGTGCGCAAGTTTTTTAAAGTGATCCTTAACAGAGCACGTCTGTATCATCGTTTAATCATTAATGAAAGGAGGTAAAAAAGAAAAAAACAAAAGAAACAGCGCAACAAACAAACAAACAAACAAACAAAAAATACAAACTAAACTAAACAATTCAAAAGGGCAGTAAATAGCATCTGAAAAAAATAAAGCACTTATCCCCAACTTTTCAAAACCTCACATCTTCCACCCAACACTTCTTTTCTGTCCTAAATTCTTGATATTGTTGCTGTTTATACCGACTTGGCGACATTACAATCAAAAGACGCTCACTTTTTCCAGAACAGGAAGCCAAGACGTAACAAGGTGAAGGTTCTTCAAGCAAAGCCACTCGCCATTCCTGCCACAGTCATGAAGAAGCTGAAGGGCAATGTCTGCTTGACCCTGACCCATAGCGACCTACAAAATTTGACGGGGGAAAAGATAAGCTGGGAAGTCGAATTGAGGGTTGAACCAAAGAATAAATCCAGTCGCAAAACGACGATAAATTCAGCGACGAATTCATAGGACTTATTAGCACTTTTGCTAGCATGAAAGTTTGCAGTTTTCGAAGGCTGATGTTTCTTTCAGTGTAAAACTCGTGAAACTTAAAATCGACACATGCGATATGTGCGATTCCTTGTAAACGCAACGACATTTTTCTAGGAAAGCAAAATGTTTGTAACGACTCTAGCAGAGTTTCGCTCTATTCTCAGAGCACACACCTGATGATATTTATCCACTCCAACCACGTCAGCCGCCGTATCTTGTAATTCCTTAAAAAAAAAAATTTAAAAAGTAAGGAAAAAACAAAGAAGTTACAGAACTCACTTCTACTAGGCTTGTGGTTTGAGGATGGCTTCGACATCTGAATTAGAAGCGCAGTTCAACATGATCTTAATGAAACCAACGATAGGAGGCAGAGATACCTATGCCGCTCATGGCTCCTTATGATCTAATTAACAATTATTCTACGAGCGCGCGTTGGATATGAGCTGATAAATAACCAACGAGGCGTGTAGGCCTGCCAAGTTGGCTATAATCATCTCATATCCAACAAGCGCGAGTGAATAATTGTTTTATTAAAAACGCCCCCAAGATATTAGACAAATCTTTATTTTAGACAAATTTTTTAGCTCCCTTTTAATTTTAAGCTGACGCATACGCTCACCATATTTGTAGATTATGGTATATTGGCTCATATACCATAATGGCTAAGCCAATAAAAAGTCTTGAATTGCATTATCCAATGATCCAGTTTTTAATAATAAAAGTTAGACTCCGGAGTCGTAACCATATGATCTCATACGGTGGGCCTGAGAATTAGCGTTAGAATATGTTTGTTCTTCCACGTCGTAGTCTTCTTATGATACGTACAATATAGTCTCCACCTGATAAAAAGCGGAATCGGAATAAAATGGACACTTTCTGACTTTTTACGAATCCGACTCCGTCTCGACCCCGTACTTAATCGTAGGCGCTCTTAAAAGTCTAATTATGACTTTATCGCGAACAAAACGAAGGATTAAAGTTCGCAGTTAGCACAAGTTTTCAAGATTTGTAAAATTCGGCACAAAAACTAAAACAAGAGGAGAAAAATTCTGACAACAACTAAGAAACTGATCATGCATCAGAAACGATCACCACTTGTTCCATATTTAATGCAAGAATTGGAACGTACACAGAAGAGAGCAATGTCCATTATCTGCCCCGGTGTTAGCTTTCATAAGGCTCTTGTCATTATGAACTTTAAGGAATTAGCAATCCACCATGGCGAAATATGTGAGTCACTTTTTCACACAATTGTAAATGACAACAATTACCGCCTTTATAAGTTCTTACCTCCACCACACGAATCTACTTATTGATTAAGGCGCGCGTGACCTTTTAACATGCCACGTTTTAAAACCGACCGTTTTAAGAATAGCTTCATTACCTTTTCTTGCCTTAAAGCAAGTAACTTATAGGTTAGAGTTTTCAAATTTCGCATTTCGATAACCTTTTTAGCGTCTCATCTCCTGTTTGCTTTTTTATTCTTTTAAAAGATAGATTAGTTAATGATCTTGACCTATAATTTAATTTTTGTAACGTAAATACACAATTCAGTTTTCAAACTGCCATGTATTTATGAAGGAATAAAAACTTCAAACTTCAACGCCTAACTTAATGTCTTAAAAAAAAAAAAAAAGCTGGTTGCCAAAATGTAAACTTACTTGAGAGGGGTCTGCGCCAGGCGAGATAACAATCAAGATCGGTTCTCCTGGAACTGTTTCCTTTACAAGCCTTTTAAGATTTAGGGCTGGAGGGGACAGTTCTTTCATTCCTGTGGATGAGAGGAGACAATATATAACTGTCATAAATTAAATGGTATTTCTGACTTTCACTCCTTCATACAGCAAAACTTCAGCGATTATGTTTCACGCGCTTTTCATGGTTTCAGAATCTTCAAAAGTCAGCACATCCAATTCGAGATCACAGTCTCCCCTTGAGTATTTGTACTCTCTATTATAGATGACAGAACTCCGGAAGTAGGACAACAATACATCCATAGGCAAGACCAACCTGGCTATTTCTCTACGAAAAAATTTCGGGTGTCTTTGTAAGAAAGAACACATGGAGGGGTCGTGTGCTAACGTATCACAGAAAAGTCTACGGAACATGTCTCTGAGGTGATTTTTTAAACAAAATCTTACCAAGTGCCTTTGAAGCAAAAAGACTCATCGCGCTTTGCAAACGGTCCGGTCTGAAAGCTTGAACGACCAACACCTGTATGAAAAACAGAAAATCACAAATGATCTTCCATAAAACGAATTTCAGTTAAAGTTCTGTTACGGCTGGATCGGTATGTGAAAGACGCGGAGTAAACATCTAAGTACAGTTGAACCCCGATATAACGGTATGCCAATGGAGCAGTGGAATTAGAACGTTGTATCGAGTTATCGTTATATCGAGACGGGGTTCTGTCCCATACATTTTACTGTAACTTT